CTAAATATATGGTTATTTTTCAGCTCCTTCCCTTCTCTGTGCCAACCCTGTGAAAAGAGAAACCAAAGCTAAACAAAGGAAATAAAGCAACAAACATTATTTTTTGCATCTCAAATCAACAGTAAGATACGAAAATAAAAAGTGAAACAAAGTAATTGTATTGGTTATTTGCCCCATCTTGTGCTGTGCTGCCCTTGAATATGTGGTATCATTTGTTTGGATTCTCGAGGAGATAAATATTTTCCAAGGAATGAGCAACTTGCTTTGCAATAGTTTAGCGTTTCTTTGTTGATTTTTGTTTACTGTCATTTATCATCTGTTTGGGCTGAATAAATTATTGTTTTGTTTGTTTCTACTGAACATGCCTACATTGTTTTCTAATTATGATGGCTTGTGTATCAAACCTTGTGAATGTTGATGTGTTGCTATTTCTAATGATTTTTGAGGTGCTTCTCATGCTAGTACAGCCAACACCACATTGCTGTAGTCCTTTGAGGTTAGGACTTTTGAAAGTCATTTTGGTTTCCAAATGTTCATTAAAGGAGACAAGTTATTTTTGTATCGTAGTCTAAAGTGAGACTATTGCTTTGTCATTATTTTGTAATGAAATACGAATGCTGCTCTTAGGAACAATGTATTTTACGATGCCCGCAGCATTTTTTTCATAAGTAGATTGGATACTACGAATTTGAGTGCATAACAACATCTGTAGTTCTGTGCTACAAATTGATAAAGGCTAGTAAATGAATAAAAAAAATTAAAATTAATTTTAGTGACTATTTAAACTATCGTTAATACTTGTCCATATAACTTAGGATTTTTAGCAAAGGGTATGTTTGTTTTTCATTTTTAAAAGAGTTTTTAATTTTTTTTCTAGATATAATATAAATTTATACTATATTTAAAAAAAATTAAAAACTCTTTTTAAAAGAGAAATCACATTCTTTATAACAGTCCCTAAAAATTTTATCGATATTAGATGCAATGATCAATAATTTTTTACTAGTAAAATTTTTAATGGTTATTTTTACTGCCATTAAAAATTATAATAATTGTCATTAAAAATTATTTTTATTGTAGTTAAATCACAAGGAGAAATTACTGGAAGTTTTATTGTATTTTATCCTAATTTGAAATTTTTATTAAAAATATGTATGTATCACTTAAATTATATAGTTGCTATAGACATATTTTATATAAGCTGTGAATTTGAAACACTAATTACTGTTTTTAGTTTTTTAAAAAAACCATTATTCAAACTCAGGTACGGCATCCCTCCCTCTTTACTGAAATTAAAATGTATACATGCCTTGTTTTTCTCGTGAATTAAAGCATTACTCATTAGTGATATATAATAAATAATATATATATAACTTATTTCTGTTTTATTTCTTATTTTTATTAATAATTATGAAAACATTACTTTAATTGTTTTGAAAATTGGCACAAGAAATATGGTGAAAAAAAGTTTTCTTATTATTGAAAATAGGAAATAAAATATTTTTCAAATAAAAACATGTCTTAAATGAATTATAGTATACTTGTTACCACTTGTTTTACTTTGATAAGAAAGAAAAAAAATAGCTATATACTCTTCTTAAAAAGTAAAGCACTCACTTTATAAAATAAAATATAGTTATAGCTATTCATTAAAATATTAATGATTAAAATTACGATACGTGTTTCGTCATTATTTTAGTTGATGACTTTTTAATTTTAAAGTTATAACTTCACACTTATTTTTTTAATATATTTTTCCACTTTAAATTATTTAAATCCCACGTAGAAATGAGAAATGTCCCTGTGCAATCAAAGTGGAATTCTAAATAAAGTAAGTTTATTAATTATTGCTATAAAAATAGAAAAAAAATGTTAATAATCTTCTTAACACGAACAATGTATTTACATAAATCAACTAATAATAAATTATTGTAAATATATGCTCAAAGCAATTTTGCTTTACTGAAATTAAATTGTCTATAATAAAGAATAAAGTTATGAGGTTGATAGAAAACATAAATTCCAATAAAAGAAGTTGTTCGAAATGAAATAAGTTAAGGATACGTAGTTCTTTCAAGAGAGCAACTTGTTAACAAGAGGAGGAGGATAGTTTAAGAAATTCATTAACTCTGAAACCAAAGAACTTTTATTTAATAGAAATTTATGATGATAAAACTCATTAAAAAGCTCTACCTAAATAAGTAATTATAAAAAATGTTTATTCAAACAGAATACGAGTAATGACTGAAATAATGTAAAAAATAAAATGTAAATTTTATAATATGAAAACAAATAATTCAAAGAATTAAGGAGGGTGAGGTTCATTGTGCCTAATACCACAAATCGTCAAGAAATTAGGTAACGTATCTTATAGATTAATTTACTCAAACTGGGCTCACAATTAATTAAAATGAAATTTCTAATTGAAGCCTAAAAAATGCTAATCGCTTAATGAAAATGTATTATAGGACTATGATTTAGTTGGGCCTTTTGTGCAATTCTCATCGGTCACAAAACCCACCATCTAAAAGTGGAAGATGACAACTTAAAATACTGTTCCAGAAATTTAGTACTGGTGTCAAATCTAGGAACACGTTTGTAGGTGCTGCTAAATATAGGATTAATTTTAATTAAAAATGTTAAAAAATATTAAGAAGGATGTGATAAAAAATAAAAAATAAAAATAAAAATAAAAATAAAAAGCATGACCTTTTTGAATTATCATATTATATTTAATCAACTCTCAGATCATTCTTTTTAATGTTTACCAAACACAGTCTTATAATTAAGCAACAAAAGCTTGAGGTTTGTTTGAATAAATGATTTTGAAGTGAAAAATAATAATCTTGTGTGAACAGAATAATATTACTAATTTTATATTATTTATTTGTTTTATTTATCTGAATAAATAAACAAAAAATAACTTGTTTTAATTTTAAAAAATATATATTATTTTGTTTTTTTGTTTTTTGTTTTTTCTTTTTCTCTTTATTCCATGTCATTGTAAGGATAAATCAAAGCATATATAAGAGTAAGGTTGGAGTCCTTAGAGCTGGCAATAAAATAAGCAATCGATGCATAATTTATTCACTACGCTTCTTGCGATGAAAAACACCCGTAGATGCGACCCCTTCCCCATTTGAGAAAAAGAAAGAGTCAAAAGATGATGGAACAAAAATTTTAGATAAATGCTAGCAATGTATTTTTATTATTGAATAAAATTTATTAAAATATTAAATTAAAAATGAAAAAAGTAAAATTTAATTAAACTTTAATTAAAATAAATAATGTACTAAAGAGAGTACTGTTAACTTTTTTTTTAATTTTAAAATAGTTATATATTAAAAAAAATACTTTTACATGTGATATTGTACATACGCAACTAAAAAAGTTACATTATTCTGGTGATTTAAACTTATTTTATGATTTAAAACATTATTTTATCAAAGCAACAATTAAAATAAATATTCAGAAAATTACTATACTACACAAAAACTGCAACATTTACTATATTGAAACTTAAAATGTGCTGTCTTAATCAACTTACCTTTTTAAATTTTGTTAACAAATATTTATAATAATTTTTAATATTTGTCAAATTATTAATAAATTTTTAGATTGCATAGGTCTAGTTTAGATAAATTAAAAAATAAATAAAAACTTTCTTATAAAAAATGTATTTGTTGTTATAATAACCAAAACGATGAATATGATATACAAACATATAAATAAATCATACAGCTTTTTTCAATTTGACCTTGACATAATCGTTTAATTTTTTTTTATCACGGATTAAGTTTTTTAAATTATAAATATTTTGAGAAGTAAAATCACTGAAATTTGAATTTAAATATTTAAAAATAGCAATTTTCATAAAAATATTATATTAAGAATATAAATAATAAATATTTTAAAGCAACATATTTTTTGAATGTTTAAATTTAATTGTAAATGTTAAAAATAATAAAATTGAATAAATATTTAATGTCTCCTCCCATAGAAGCAAGCGCGTTTTGAAATGAAAATGACGTAATGAGTTCGGTCAACACAACCAATGCAGTCAAATTCTCTCTCTATCTCTTGATAATTACTTAATTTCACGCGGCATTTGGTGTACACTTCGATTAAATAAGCTGCGAATTAAATTGATTTTTTAATAAGGTCTTTGAAATTTAGAAATATATTAAGAAAATAACTATACTATAACACTATAACTTTTTAAAGTTGATGAAATGAATTATTCGATTTGTATATAGTAAGTCTAGTTTAAATTTCTATTTTTTACTTAAATAAATTATTTTTATATTAATAGTTAACATTTAATTTAATTTATTTACATTATATGATAAAAAATTATTTCAAAATAAAATATATTTTAATAATATTTAATTAAACAATTTTTTAAAAATATTGTTTAAAATAATTTTATTATATATAATTTTTTATAAAAATATAAAATGTTATTATTTAATTATTAAATTATATACATTTTATTATATATAAAATAAAATACACATGGAGTTAATAAACTAGTTCTATTTAAAAAGAACAATATTATATTGTATGAGAGATAATGAATAAGTAATAAAAATATAAAAATAATCAATCAGTGATAAAATTTAAAAGATTAAAAATATTAAAGTTAGATGAAAAAAATACAAGAGATAAAATTTACATTTAAATAGATTAATAAACCTAAAATTATATATAAGTCAATATTATTTTAAAAAATATAATCTCAAAATATTATAATTTAAAAAAAATTATACCTCAAATATTTATGCAACAATGACATTTTTATTGTCAACTTGTTAAGTTTAAAATGCATTTTAAATACTCTGAAAATTTATTTCAATTAAACAAAATAAAAAAAGTGATATTCGGACATATTTTTGAAATAGTTTGACCTATTTTTATAATAATTTAAAAATCATATAATAATTAATTTGGGTGAATCAATCTCTGGAATTATACATGGTACGTAGGATTTTGAAAATTTGAGAAAATTGAAAAAGAAAAGAAGCATTTATCTATAGTGAAAGAGAAGGAAAAGGAAGCAAATTGAAGTTGTTATTGATTGCAAGGGTACATATATTATCGCATTTCCCAGTCTCCAACATAAGAAACAAGGAAGAAATAAAGGCTTTTAATTCATTCCATGGCAACCAACGAAACTTCACCGTAAGTGCTTACTCTTCAAACCACTATGTATGACTATTCTTCAAAGCAACCAAACTTTCCACGAAAACTCCAACTCACCCAAACTATGTTTTCTTCCTCGCAGGTTTGAGACTCGCGAGATGCTCGCAACGTTCGTCTCGTCCACCCCCTTGTTGTCAGAGTCATGGAGGCTCTGCAGCAAGGCCAACGCCACCCCCTTTCGGAGCTTCGTCACCGAGCGAGTCGCCGGCGTCGTTTATGTCGCTTTCTCCGGCGTCCACATGGCCGGCGGGTCCGACCCCAATTGGAGAAATTTGACGGCGTTAGATAGCATCGGCGGCGTACCTATGTTTTCGTCGCGTCGGAACAAGGAAGGAGAGGAGCCGGTGATGGTTCATGCTGGGATGCTCAATCTCTTCTTCTCCCTCTTCAACTCATTCCAAAATCAGGTTCGTTTCCAATTTTCAACTCGTGCTTTTATATGTAACAGTTTAAGATTGGTTTTGTTTCTTAATTAGGTGCATGATTGGGGAAGTTTCTTTAGGGAAATAAATGTTTATTTCTTAAATATCAAATTTAGGTGAGATACCTTGGATTAATTATATATATGCTAATTAAAAGGCAAAATACAGGAATAAGAAGATCCTATACACTTTTTTCACCGCATCAGAAACTTAGCTGAATTAATTGATCGGAGAAGGAACTAGAAAACGGTTTAAGAAGGAGATTTTGGAATAATTAAAGCATAAAGTGATGATTGTATAGTTGTATGGTATCGGCATTGATCCGTTTGTAGCCGCCGTGTGCTGTTTAGTTTTTGTTTTTGTTTTGGGATATTTTTGGATTTAATCATTTAGTTTTGATTTTGAGGGAAGGTTTTCTTTTTTGGGTGTTCTCTTCTCTTATTGGTATGATTACGTGACGTAGTTAGTTGGGTGTGTTACTTTCTGCCCATCAATTGATAGAACAAAGCAACAACACGAAAACATCCTAGTATAGCCTAGAAGAAATTTAAAATACAAATAAAAATTGAAAGGGAAATTAGAGTCGAGTTTAGGTAAATCTTTTGTTTATAAAAAAATTAATATAAATAATAATATTTTTTTATTTTATAAAATAATTAATTTTATTTTATTACTTATCTTTTAATCTTGTAAGTATCTATTGATAACTTTATCCTCTAGACTTTGATAAATAAACTGTCTTCCCTCCTATCTCATTTGGCAGAGAAGGTGCGAAAATGAGGCTGAGATAAAAAGGGGAAATTTTAGATGAATCGTGTTCTGATGCGAGAGTTGATTCAGTTGAATTTAAAGAAACAAATTCCCAGTATGTATATATTATACAGTAGTATTATATATTTTATTAAGAAAATTCTACTAATTAGTTTAACTTGTTTTAATTATAATTCAAGAGAGAGAGAGAAAAAAACAGCATACTATATTAGTGAAATTGAGATGTCCTAAAGTTTGTAGGTATAGGCTTTTAACATACCAAATAACACCAGCCATCACCACTGAGATTTGAGCTAATATTACAATAAAAATTAATAAGTATTAATTTTTGAAGGGAATTTAAAAAGATTAAATTATTACATATTTATGTTCTTTCGTTGTTGTTAAAGTTCATCAGTGCCCCTTTATTCCTCTAAGTGCCCTAACTCTTTAAAGATCCATCTCCAGATTCTCCACCAAATCAAAGTGACTTATCAGTTGCATTATTTTAAATCGTGGTATACGCTACAGTAATTCCTGCCCGGGCCACCATAAAGTATCATAGTTTATTTTTTACAAATGCTTACTAAAGTCCTAAGAGCATTGATAAAAGAAAATAAAGTAAAAAGAATGGAAAGATAAATATTCCCTAAATAAAAAATATGAGAGTTATTTAATGCTTCATTTTTAAAAAAAAATTATTTAACCAAGATTTTTGGGACGTGTTTCAGTTGTCCCTTTGGTTTCTTTTACACCAAAATTTGTGAAGAAAATTGGAGCTGAGCTTTAACCCAAAAGTTGCATTCCGTGTCCGTTGGTAGCGTGGCTGTGGGGTTGATGACTTATCTATTTAATATTATCAATTATTATTATAATGTACAAAAAGCAAAGATCATTTTTTGCAGTGTGAACAATCCCCAACAAGCTCATATTCCAAGACATGGGTCCCTAGTCCCTACCAATGTTATCGTTTTATGAATGGATGCTCCAACAACCAAGCCACCTTGATCAGTGCCTAAAACATGCTGTTAAATTAGTATCATGGTCCTAGATTCCAATTCGAAATGGTTGACTTTTACTTTTAGCTTAACAATTGCCTCCATCACCAAGCAGATAATGCCACAAACAAAGATGAGAGTGGTATCATTTTTATATAAATTAAAACTTCCATTATTCTTGTTCAATGCCTTCATCATCATTATTATACAATGGCGTTTGTTAATGGACAAATATCTATTGCACAGCAATTTGTCAACGCCAGCACTAGTTGACCGGTGAAACGAAACCCTGAAAAATCATTTTTAAATCTTCTGTTGGCATTTTATTCGTTAATTGTTTTTTCTTTCCGAGAAGAAATTAGAAAAGTAGTTTGCTTTACTAGCTAGGATTTAGAAATAAAATATAAAATTACCAAGCATAATTATATTTAGAAATATGAAAATATCTTCTTACAGAAGAGCAGGGAAAGAAAAAAAAACCGTGACTATCTTCTGAGTGCGTTTGAAGGGATCACAAGACCTGATGGGATTTGAAATACTGCTTCGGATGGAAATATTTTTTTTTTATTAATTGTTAAGCTTATTAATCTATCTTTTATTTGTAATTTTTCTTTTGATTGTTGCTCTGAACTAATCAAATAGTATAAATATTTTATATAGATAAATGGATATTTGTATAAACAAATAAGTAAGAATAAATTTCTTCTTCACGTTATATATCTAAACAGGAACGAAGGTAGTAACTTTTTTTATGGTATATGGATTTGAAACGGTGATTTGTCAATACAGTAAGTAAAACAATATCTAAGTGAAACGTGTCTAGTGATTTGGGTAGGTTAAATCCAACTTATCCAACGATAATTGCTTTAGACAGTAGATGAATCCCCTTCACATACTATGCCAAAGTTGGCGACAATGGTCTTTCTTCCTTGACTCATATGTTCAATGATTGGAGCAAGAATGCGAGACTCAAGTCGTGCCGCTGTGGGCACCACCATATAACCCATGATACCTATCTTGCCAAAATGAGCAAAAAGACTTAGCTCGGTCAATTTTGAAAGTAACCTTCTGTCATAAAGTGTTTCGCCATATAGAGTTTCGTTTTCACAATTCCCTCCAAAGGACCGTAACTTTATGTCGTACTCAAGTCTTTTTAATTAGATCACTACCACTTTATGATGTACTATATGCTTTTTTTTGTCTTGGTGCTTAACATGAAAATAAAATTAAAATCTCGACTTTTTATTCATCAGTAAATCATTCATATTAAAATCTTAAAATTAAAAGGGCATTTTTTTTTCAAATTTCTTTCACTGGAATCTTATTCATATTCTTAACTATGTACTAACTCTTGAAAATTAACCATTCAGATGTTGGAAATAGTGGGAAATACGGATACTAAATCAGTTGTCATCACGGGACATTCCATTGGAGGTGCCACTGCCTCTCTATGCACTCTTTGGCTTCTGTCTTACCTTCAATCCATCTCTTCATCTCTGTCAATCTTGTGCATCACCTATGGAGCACCATTGCTTGGGAACCAATCCTTTTCCCAAGCCATTTTCAAAGAAAGATGGGGTGGCAACTTCTGCCATGTGGTATCAAAGCATGACATAATGCCAAGGTTGCTCTTTGCCCCTATAACTCCTCTCACTACTCAGCTAAATATCCTACTACAGTTTTGGCACTTGTCCATGACTTCACCCGACTTTGAGAAGCTTGAATTTCAAATATCTGACAAAGAGAAAGCCAAATTGTTCACTGCTGTGATGGATTACTTGGAAGCAGTAACACAAGATGGAGAAACATCAGTGCCAATTTTATTTCACCCTTTCGGGAATTACTTTTTTGTTTCAGAAGATGGAGCAGTATGTGTGGATAATCCAGCTGCAATCGTAAAGATGATGCACTTGATGCTTGCAACTGGTTCTCCAACTAGTAGCATTGAGGACCATCTGAAGTATGGAGACTATGTTAATAAAATGTCTTCACAAATATTGAATCAGAGAGACACTATGCAGAAGAACATTCCTGACTCAAGCTATGAAGCAGGGCTTGAGTTGGCCATCCAGTCTTCTGGCATAGCGAGCCAGGTAATTGCAATTTCTATTAGATAATATACTATCTTGCATCCCCTGGTTCTATGATTCACGTGTATATCCATCAGCTTAAGCTTTTGGGTTTGTTGGTTCAGAATATATATGATAAAGTGGTCGGTGGGCTTGCACATTATCACCTAAACAGCTTAAGCCTTTAGAGTAATTGGATGACGACAATATCCTAGCTCTTTAAGAAAATCCATTTTTTCATTAAGATTGCAAGCGTTTGTCACTTTAGTCTCTAAAATTAATAAACTCTCACTTTTGCAAAGCCTCATTTCTTCAAGCCTAGTTCAGTTTGTTATTTTTCACTGGCATTAAAGATTAAAGTGAATGATATTTATACAGTCAATTCTAAATTGAAGGTTTTGTGAAGTTAAGGACTAAAGTAAGCTTATAATGTCAAGAACTAAAGTGGGGTTCGCTTAAAAGGGAAAGTAGCATCTTTTTTTTAAAAAAAACTTTTTTGCAGTGCATTCTCACTAATATTAGCCACACATGATTATTTCACTGAACAAATTACTATGATTAAATAAACAGGAATCAGCTATTAAATCCGCCAAGGAATGTTTAAAGACAACAAGGAGAATGGGTCCTTCACCAACTCAGAATGCTGCAAGCCTAGCAGTTAGCTTATCCAAGGTTGTACCTTATAGAGCCCAAATCGAATGGTACAAAACTTGGTGCGATGAGCAAGACGATCAAATGGGGTACTACGATTCATTCAAGAGCAGAGATTCTTCCAGTTCAAAAAGGGACATGAAAGTCAACATGAATCGTTGCAAACTCGCCAAGTTTTGGAACAACGTTATTGACATGTTGGAAAGAAGTGATCTGCCTCATGATTTTGACAAACGAGCCAAGTGGGTCAACACTTCACACTTCTATAAACTATTGGTTGAGCCACTAGACATTGCTGAATATTATGGGAAAGGGATGCATAGAACCAAGGGCCATTACATGCAACATGGTAGAGAGAGAAGGTATGAGATTTTTGATAGGTGGTGGAAGGATAGAAGGGTAACTAGTGGTGAAGAAAACAAGGAGAGAAGTAAGTTTGCAAGTTTGACACAAGATTCATGCTTTTGGGCTAGAGTAGAAGAAGCAAGGGACTGGTTGAATTGTGTTAGAAGTGAGAGAGATACTAACAAGTTGGCTTTGTTGTGGGATAAGATTGAAAATTTTGAGAAGTATGCTATGAAACTAATTGAAGATAAGGAGGTGTCTTGTGACGTTCTAGCTAAGAATTCTAGTTATAGTTTGTGGGTAGAGGATTTAAGAGAATTGAAGCAATTGAAAGCAAAGGTTAAGAGGTTTCCCCATCAGTTTACTGGTTTTCTAGATGGGGAAGTAGTTCCTTAGTACGTAATTTTGAGTCAATAAGCTTAACCCATTGTAAGCATACCATGTATTATATAACTGCTCCTTTTGCAAAATAACTCGTTTTGCTTTTTGAGTTATGACTTTTTATTGCATTAGAATTTTACTTAAAATTTAGATATTATCGTGTTGTTAATAACTTTTTGTGCAATTAAAAACATTTTTAAAAAACATGCCAAATCCTAATAATAAAAAAAAAATTACATATTTAAGAGAGGCCTATGAGTGTTTTAGATATCTTCAAAGTTCTAAAAGGTTAAGGTGAGAGAAACTATTGTTAAGAAATTAATAAATTAAAAAATATTAAAAATTATAAGGAATATATTATCATTTTTTAATTTTTTTAATTCTTTAACTAATACTGTCATGACGGTGATTAGCATTATATCATTTAACAAATGTTAAAACCCTAGTAGGTGGAAGAGTTAGTGCTGCATGTGCAAGTAAGTCATTTTAAGATAATGCTCCAACTACGGTTAGGATGTGCTTTTCTCGAAGTCTCAGACCATGTTTTTTTCAATTAAAGATTTTTTTTCCTTTTAATGTGAATTTAATTTAGTTTTTTTATTATTTTGTTAATGCTAATTTTTAGACTTAATTTAAATATTATGTAATAATTTTTATTAAAATAAAAAGCGCTTATTACATTTTTATATCTCTAATATAATAGATATTTTTTTATAAATTTTACTATTATTTGATACTTAAACTCATTCGTAAAGATGAGATTAACAAAGTCATTTTTTTATAAAAAATAAATAAATAATTAATATATCAAGACTGACAAAATAATTTCTTTTTTCAAACAAAGCTTAAGCAGTTCTTTTAAACAGATTAAGAATGAAAGCAAACAAAAACGTAATTGTGGAATATAAGTGTTTTGTTAATGTCTTTTAACTTTTCCAGGGGTGATGATAGAAGGATTCACGTGAGGATGGTATGTATGTGATTATGTAACGTGTCATTACGTAATTTACGTTAATGATATGTATTTTGTGTCGTGCATAAGGGCAATTATCATGCAGTTTAAATCAAATGTAGATCAAAACTTCATTAGGAGCTTTGATGTAAAATTTTTATTTGTGTAACAAGCAACAGCGTATACAACTATAGCAGAGAAGCTAACACTTTACCACAAAATAATTCATAGTGCTATATAAAGACAGATTATTTCCTTCTTTGATCTTTAAAAGGTAGTAACATGAAACCAACAGCAAGAACTGTATTCTGTGTGACAACCAAAAGCAGTGCAGCTCCAGCAATAACCAGCCGCCAGAAGTTTTTATGGTCCTCTTGTTAAACTGCTATAATATGGGAAATAGGGCACATAAAACCTTGTGATCTCAAACCCAAAAATAGACTAGTGTTGTCTCTCTTTACCTGTCGAAAGAACATTCTATCCTGGCTTAGAATTCCCCATTGGGCAAACTTATAAAGGGCATTACAAAGTAACTAGCAATTAATATAATTCTTCCATTGATTCCATAGACAAAGAAAACTATAGCAATTGGAAATTTATAAACAGAAGAGGCATATGAATTATGTTATAATATGCTACCTTCACTCTTATTTATTTGTCTAGATAGAAAAGAAATTAGAGACCAATAAATCTAACCATTTTGTTAGAATTAATTGCTATGCTTTTTAATTTACCTTTTATTAGGGTGTTCTTTTTTACTCTTAGACTACTCAAATAGTGTATATATTTTATATGGACAAAAAGGGTATTAGTTGAAGAATAATAATTAATATTATCGAGAACTTTTACATGGATATATAAATAAGAACAAAATTTTCTCTTCTTTCTAGCTAAATAAATAATAATAGGGGTAGTATTTAATATTTAACAGAGAAGTCCATTGGTTGCAAAGCATGCAAGAAGATATAGGATATCCTTCTTTCATAGCCAGATATATAAACATTTCCATCTCTTTTAGATTTCAGAATTCTGTTGAGCTTTGTACTACAAAACGTGAATTCCTTAGTTTGTGAAGATTATTGTCAATACAGATACTATGCTACGGTGTGTAATGTTGATTAATATTGATTAATATCACATCTACAATAGCAAAAAAAGAAAAGTGTCAACATAAAATGCTGCCAAAGGCAGCACATTTTTATATGCCTATAAAGAACTGATGTAAGGAGTCTAAGAAAGTGTAGAAGTTTTTCTGTACAGAATCATTAGTTTCTAGATGATCTCGAAATAGAAGGTTTGAGCAACTAATGTTATTGAAGTTCCCAAGTTGGATAGTGAACAGGACAAGAGAACAGTGCTCTTCTGTTAATCCTACAAATAACAAGACCAAAATGTCCTAAATCCCAACTAATAGGAATTGTTTGTCACTAACCCATACATCACTATAACTGTAACTTCTGCGAAAAATACTTCTTCACAGCCAGATACATTACTGCTATACCAAAATTGTTGAGAGTAATCATAAAAAAAAAGGTGTAACATCTATTAAGCTACCTAACACAATAAATATATCTATGACTATGGCAGTTATAGCAAATCATGAAGCAAGGGGGAAGTGCCATGATAGATGGGAAGTTCTGAAATATAAAAGAAGCAGACATGTCAGGGTTGAGGCAAACCTTGGTGATGTTGAGCAAGTGGAAGAGCCAGGAAAGCTTGTGAACACATTTGAGTAGGACTTCGTCAAATATGAAAAATTATTGATGGGAGGCAGAGAAGGTACTCTTTTTCCTTTCTTCAAAAGTTCTTGCAAACAAACTCTTTGCAAGGTCAAAACAACCCTTGAGTCCTTCCAAATGAAGGCAAGGATATCATTTTGAAATACAAAGAGGGAACCGCACTTTGCTCCAGGGTATCTGAACCCATAACCATTTGAAATACCTTCTCCAGTAAAAGCATGCTTGATATTTGCTGAGAAGGAGTCTGTATCAGTGTCCCAGGGAAAGGGTTCAGATGAAGGCTCATTAATATTCACTACAAACATTGCTGAACCATTAGGATGCAAGACATAATGAGTGCCTTCCAATATTTTTGTTGCAATAAGAAGCTGTTGTCCCTGGGATTCCTCATAAGATACCAAGAGAAAAAATAGAGCCTTTCCAGGCTTGTCTTCAGAAGGTTTTCCAGGAGGCCAACCAAAAGTTCCTCCCCACAAACCAGCATAAACTTGATCTGCTGTAGGAACTTGCAAGGGCATCTTGTAGAGTGCAAACCAACTCTCTGGCATATTTGGCCATGCCCGATATGAAGATAATTTAACAGTTGAGGCTTTTAATGTTAGCCTTATTGCATTGCTTGATCTTAGAAAGTCTTCGAGCCGTGCATACTTCGTCTCGTGGCTTGAAGTAAGCTTGTTGAAAATTGCATGACCTCCATTAATTGAACTAGATCTTCCAAGGATCTGTTTAAAGCTTCCCCATAAATATCCACCAACACCTCTCTTCTTGGTGCATTGTGTGTGATCATCCTCCTTGTACAGAAAATTTGAGAAATCCCTCAAACAGTTAGAACTCTTTCTTATGTTATCCAGCTCTAATTGCACTGAATTTTCCTTATTGTCAATCTGATTACAACCAAGGTCATACATTTGACAAAGGATTGCTCTTCTTTCCCTCAAGAGCATCAAATCGTTCTGAAAGTTGTCATAATCATCCCTTAACCTAGGAAACAACGGTCCAGCAGCAATATCAGGAACCTCTTGTTTAAATTGGCTAGAAGTGACCTCAAGCAACTTCCTTCTATCACTAAAAGTCAACTTGCTGAAGGGAACCTTTGGCTCATTATTTCCACATACCCTTTGTAACCTAGAAAGCTCACTGTTTGACCTACAAACTTCTTCTAATAACTTCCCATCTGAGTCATGTAAGCTTCTACTCTGCAACAAAGTACTACCATAATCTTGTTCCTTAGGTTCAACCTCAAGCAATAGCACATTGCAAGATTTATCTATGTACTTGACTGAGCCATGACAAACATGATCTATTCCATCTTCCCTTCCATGGAGAAAAAATGTAGCTGAACCATCAAAATCACCAATAACCTCAAACACAGATGACCACATGATTGGACCATCTCGGATCCCCAATGGACCAAGCTCCTGAGGAATTATCCTGCACCCGACAACCGAAACAAAACCGGGCATAACATAGACAAGGTTACCAAGTTCAGGATTCTGATGAACCCATATTCCAAGCAAAGGTTTCACACTCAAAAGAAAACGGCAAAGTGCCTTGTAAGATGCTACACCCTCTCTCCACTCAACAAGGTCTTTGTGGGGAACCATACCGACCATGTCACATTGAGTTAGCCACACTTTTTCAGATGATGCAAGAGCATATAGACTCCTACAACAGAGACTAAGATTGCACACATCTCTGGGTAAGAGGAACCGTGACACCATAGCAAACACATCATCGGGTAGACAAAGAAACAAGCTTGGATCAAAGGAATCAGGTACCAACATAATGAACCCAATTCAACCCAACAAAAATTTGATGGTTTAAAAACTGAACTTTAAGTGCGTGTTACCAACAAGATTGCACACATACAATTTGTGAATCTCTCAAGTGATCTTCAATTATTGAGTCTAAGTCTAACAAATGTTAAATGAAAGAGACATGTACCTACCTGAAGTGAATTGGGTTGTTACGGATATTGCAAAATTCTTTCTCTTGATTGTGGAATGTTGAAACGCGTTTGTGGTGGAAAAAGAAAAGAATTCCAATGGGTGTAAGAAAGCACAAGCGAAGGTTTTCATTGTAAAGTGGTTAAGATTAAGAAGTAAGTCAAGTCAAATATGATATTACATCCATCTGTCACCTTGACTATCTATGTCGAATGTCATCAACGTTGGAATTGAACAGTACCATAGGCGTTGCGTCAATATGATATTCACGTACTCGTAAAATATCTTATTTTCTTTTCGATTTTAATGAGATCGTATATAATCTTGTTTATAACTATTTTTTACTTTCATTTATTTTTATTAAATTTTAACCCTTGTAATATCATGTATTATAGGAATTTACAAACAAATTTATTAAAAATACAAAATTTAAATATATTAATATTATTAAATACAATAATTTTTAATAAAAATATTATTTATTAATTTTGCATTGCATACAAATTAAAGAATCTGATTTTTTTTAATATTTAGACATCCCAAAAATATATACACACACTCATGTTTGTCATCGTCGGTGCGTTGCATGTTGTTTTGTCAAAAGGTTTTCACCAGATATTCATTGCCTAATATCTTCTGTGTACACAGTACACTGTACAGTTAAAAAATATTTAAAAAATGAAAATATATCCATAATTAATTTCAAATTAAAAAATAATTACATGCTTCGATTTTTTTCAGAAAATATATATTATGATATTTAATCACTCTTTAGGGATTAAGTTTTTCAAATATATATATATTTCATTGTTAATTTAATTAATAATATACTTGTAATTAATAAAAAATGTATGGAAAATACAATTATGTTAATTGATTACTATTTACTAACTATTAAATTGTCTTTAGTTCAAGATAGAAGGTGAGTAAACTAAAATATATAAATCTTCAAGTTAACCTTTGAGATTGGATAACTCGCACGCATATTTTAGTATAAAAATTTATTTTTTATTTTTTATAATTTTATAAAAAAAAGATTCATTTGATTCCTTTTTTTTTATTTTTTTGCTTTGAGTTTAAAAATTAAAGTCAATATACTTTATAAAATAATCAAAAGCTAAAATACATCACTTATACAATCTTAATATTTGAGAGTTGTGAAACCAAAATATTTGTGACTTTTCGAGCTTGTTTGTTTAAAATAAAAAATCGACTTCTATGGTGATAGAAATTTATCGACGTCATTGAACGAGTTTTAGTTTTAATGCACAGTAAATCTTAAAACATTTTTGAAGCAGAAAATAAAGAGATTACGAATATTGAAAGCGTAATCAGACAAACTCTTACTATTAAGTGATTGATTAAGTAGGATACGAAACTGGAAATTTAATATTTCAAATTCGTCCTAAATCTTCAATTATTTTTAAAAAATAAGATTTTGTGGGTCAAGTAAAAAAATTGTCAATTAAATTTATTCAATTTTAGAAAATGAGAAACTTGACTTGGTCAAACACTCGAGAAATGGCATTTTCAAATTGTAATATTTAACAATTGACAATCTTCAATTAATAGGTTCCGACAAAACCAGTTTCCACTGAGCAAATAACCCGAGGGATTGTTTTCTATGGATAAACTATACATTCAACACCCTTTGAAAATCACTAGTAAAGTCATCCAAATCAACTACATCTTTTTCTTCCGATTTTAGTTTTGCGAGCTCTAAATTCAGCTCCGCAATCTGCTTCTGTAGTTTCTCTCCCTTGTCAGGTAATTTAGAAATCATCGCCTGAGGTTTAAACGGATATCAAACTCAGTCCACTATATAATATCTTAATTCCTGAATTAAGAATGCGATAACACAATTCTATTTTAATGGTTGGTTCTTAAATGAGAATCCTTTGGCAATAACCAATTCCCACTTCTATAATGATTTAATCCTGTAGACAACCCAAGAAGTCATCTGCCTCTAGGCTATTAAGATGTGGTATAAATGCTACGTTGCTGTACAAAAGTGAAATTACTATTTAAGAGAAAAAGCACACCGTATTTGAGAGTGTTTGAGAGAGCCGCTTAATTTTATCCTTGATTTCTGACTCGGTCAATTTACCAGCACTGCTAGGAGAAGAACCTTTTTTGTTTAACTTGGCATCCTTAGGATTAAAGGCAAACTCAGCGCTGGTTTAAAGCAAAAAAGGAAAAAATCAAATCAAAACCAAAAATCCTTTTAATTTCTAAAAGATAGTGTAATAATAACGATACCCATCAGCAATATGCTCGTATGAATATGATGTTGAAGTTCCAATATATGTGGTCCTATGATTCCTGCAACCATTGTATTAATGGAGCTTCAGGTTTGATAAAGCAATTGGTAAACAGATAAATTGCAATTACAAGCACATTTCAAATTTCAGCATACTTCGCATAAACTAGTGAAGCATATTCCAAACAATGAACTGTATGGAGCTTTCTCATATTTCAAATTCAATAGCTTAGCTTTCAGTTAGTGATATCAAATGCTTTAAGAAAATTTCAGCACAACATTTGGTACAAAACAACAATAACACAAAGGAAACAAAAATCACATTTACATCAAATTAGTAATTACTAATAGTTGGCAATTACGAGCATGCACTTTAAGTATTACAATGTCCACAAAGCTTTACCTTGTAACTTCATCATCCTCAGGATCAGCTTGAACTGGCGCTGTCTTGGAGAAGAGTAAACTGTGGTGACTAACTCCAGCTATGCCTAGACTTTTCAAGAACTCTATATGTGCTTTGAAAAAGTCATCACTACACGCAATACAAATGCTCCTTAAGATAAAAATCAGTAGATAGAGCTCAATTTATGAGTTAAAGCATGTTTGACCTCACTTATTTCAAACAAATAAACATTTTTTTTATTAGTTTCCAAAAAGCTTTTTGAAAAAAAGTTCTTTTTTAGGGAAAAAAACAGTTCCTAAACACACTGTATCTTATTCAAAGTGAGAAAAACTATATTGAGTGAATTGAACAAGATAGTACAAAGCACCAATTGTTGTATATCACCGTTAGTGAGGAAAGCTAAAGCTAGAAATGTTAAATTATAGCAAAATACATATTTTAAAATATGAACTCATTACACTGTATGTTGACGATCATGCTCCTCATTCAATTGCCTTTGGGTAACAGATACATCAAATCCTTCTTTTGGAAGGCTGAAAAGCTCCCGAAGATCCTGCAAGGGGTGAATGGAAGATTACACCAAATGGCAAGATGTAAGAAATGTATCTCTTAACTAATAGTACAACCCACTAAACTTGTACCTGCTGGCTGAAATACCGAATTTGTTCTTTATGTTCGGTAGCAGTTTTGAGCAATCCTCCCTTGTATACCTAAAAAACATACAGTTTGAGTGTCAAATAAGTCAATCAATGTCTAAACCATGCCATACACACACACATACCCACTTATATATGCATACATGCATACATAAATAGTTACATATGCTTATTCATGCACGTATATGCATGTATATACATTTGTATATGCATGTGAGTATGTTCATTGTATTGATACTCAACCAAAATATTGGAAAAGGAAAGAGTTACCTGCTTTCTGTAGATCTTTTCTTCAACAGTTCCACATGTCATCAATCTATATACAATAACATCTTTCTTTTGACCAATCCGATATGCACGGTCAACACTTTGATTATCCGTGCTGTTGGAAACAGAAAATAATGGTGTTTTACAAGGAATGACTCAATTTGCAAATTAAAAGAAAGAAACACAATAGATCAGGGCAATCAACCCTCAACCCTAACTTAGTCTACCAGATGCATAATACTTGCATCTCAATCAAATTGGCTACGGCAAATACACCAAAACAGTCAAATATAAAGCAAGACAAAAACAATTAAACATTAACATGAGGAACTTTTATCAAGCTGCATGACTGGAGAGAAATTTTAGGACATTACAGCCACCAGGAGAAAATCTTGCTACAAGTAACAGGAGCAGAACAGAAACCAAATGACAATTTCTTGATTACAATTCAAAACAAAATAACAACCTTAACAGATCTCACTTTAAAAAGAAAATTAAACAAGACAACTACTTTCATAACTTTTTACACTACAGTTTAAAGCAATCTTTGCAAAAACAATTGGAAAAATACTAATAATTCTTTTTTTGTAAATTATTCAACAAAATTAGATCACATTTAGAGTCAAGCAAAATGAACACTTCAAGACATACCTCGGGTTCCAAGCAGGATCAACTACAATCACACGATCTGCTCTTGTAAGCGTCAGTCCTAAACCACCAACCTGAGATGTCAAGAGAAATATAGGAGCTCCAACACCTTCTTGGAAATCCTGAAATCAGAACAACAGTTGGCATAAAACAGGAACCTTTGGGGAATTGAAAAGTCATAACCGGGCAAAATACTTACATTAACAATCCTTAGTCTGTCACTGGCTTTTGTCGTACCATCAATTCGTAAAAACTCATAACCTTTGGATACAAGGCATTCCTATAATCAAGTGGTAGAAAACCCTTAATCTCATAGAAAAGCATAAAACAAAATGATGATGTAAGAAATTTAAAGGAAAACTTTGAACATCCTAAAAATACCTAATAATTGTTAAAACTAAAACATTTATTAACCCTCTGACTATGAAGCCTAGATACTTGATACAACACAAATACGATACGATACGAATACAAAGATATGGAAAAAATTTAAATTTCAAGATACGATACGGCTTAGATACTTTAATATGAATTTAAAGAAATAATATTTATAAAAAGATATTAATAATTAATTTATATTAATGTGTTACATTTACATATCAATGATCACATTTTACAAAAAAATACATGCGATCATAAAAATTACATACTTTACCCCCTATTCAATTTAGAATTCCACAAAAAAAATGGTAGTCCTATCCAAAAGAAATATAGAACTATCACAAAAAGAATGCCGTGCCTTTATACTATTTAATTCTAACATTGTCACACTCATTTCCATCCTTATTGTCTACAAAAAGCATAACTTCTAAGTCTGGTTTAGTAAGAAATAATTCAGCTAATTCAAGAAATCCAGCACCATTATCAAGTGGATCATTTATATCTCCACTGATATCCCACATCCTTGTCTCTCCTTTAGTGTACTTTTCTTCTTTCTTA